TAACGATATCATATACCATACGATAAACGAAACGCTAAACGCTAAACCATACCATGTACCATACGACAAATAAAACGCTATACGAATGATGTACGAACGATTCCCGAACGCTGTACGTACGATTCCCGAATGAAAAAAGTGTTAACTTTTACGTTACAGGTAATGTAATCTGCAGCAAAGTAATTTTTTTTTTCGACACATTACATGTCAAAATATTTAATTTTACCTTAGTAAGGGCTTGCATTCAAGTGTTTTAAATTTATAGAGAGTCAACAAAGTAGATAATGTAAAAATAATATTTTGATTGAAGATATTTTAAACAATTTGGTCCTCTAAATTAGGAATACTAACATTCGTATATACGAAACTGCTTATATAAGATAAGGAGATTTGGTATGAATGACAATTAGCAACACCCATACCGTTAAGTCAGCTATGAAAGACATGAGACACTGTGGAATGATTCAAACGATATACCAACGAATTTTAACAAAAACAACTTAATACAAAATATGAAAGACAGCCACTTAATATGAAGATCCTAACTTGGGATAGGCACATAGAGAATGTGGCATGGTTACAAATTTTGTGGGGCTCAACTCCCCCTACATTGGACAGTGGTATAACAGCACTAAAAAAGTTTGCAGATTCTTTTTAGTCTTAGAGATTTTGTGAAAATAAACATGTTTCGTCACATTCTGACAAAATAAAAACAAAATGTTCACCGAGAAAAATAGATTCATAACGAACACGTCGACTGATACAAACATTGTGAACGATGTAAACTCTTGCAGCAACGTATGCTTAGTTGATAGGATACATGTATGTTATGTCTATAACGATATTTTGTAAACGTCAACACTGAATCCGACCTCACTGACTGAGGAATCCTTTGTCATCATAAGGACGATAAACCCATTGGTTGAACGAACTTCCTGTGATAAATCTGTACCAGTTCATTCGCCCAAAAGTATGTCGTCTGCATTGACATCACCACCAAACATCTAGAACAAACGTAGGGAAATAAAATCTTGAAAAAAAGATATGTAAAGATAAGTCTCTTTTGAAAATTTTCATAAAATTTCATATGTTTTATATACTGTAGCATTTTATATAACGTCTTATGTGGTTATAAATTGTATATATGTTGAAGAAATAAGCTTTTTGCTTTTGTGTTCCATTATATTTGAATTGTAATATCCATTTTAACAACGATTGTGTCCATGTAATTAGGTTTTTGTCTTATAAGTTTATGACGAAAAGGCTGTTTGAAATGAAATGCACGAGTCTTATCGAACGTAGTTTGATACAGGTTATTTCCACTCAAACGATATTTAAACTTAAAATCAAATTGAGTTAAAATCACAAAGCGTTCTATGGACCACTGTCAATACTTCTTGACAAACCCTCATGCTGAAACAAAATATCTTATGCACAGCTTGACACTTAAGCAATAGATACCTTTGAAAGTTAAGAAGGTATGACATCTGGTTGATGAAAATTGTGGCGGACAAATACATGTGCGAAGAAAGAGAAGTTTACAAATGAAGTTGCACTATCGAAAACTGCAATTTCAAGCACTAATGACAATGCCCGACATGTAAATCCAGAAAAGCGCTTAAGACGCATGAAATCTATAACGTGATGTTTTCATCTTTTTTTGCAATTTCAATGGTTATGGGAGCCATTTTGAAATTGTCAAAAATAATTATACAATATGCATGATAGGTCACATTTGTTACATGTGTTAATAGCTAAATTTGGTTATGTGGATTTATTACAATTAAAGTGTTTCAATGGAAACGGTCAACATTTTAATATTATTCTTAATGTTCGCTCCTCTTGTTTTTGATTTTTGTCAGACATTCGGAATCCTCTAGTTTTATCCATGTAATGCCAATAAATATTTTGCCCGTTAACCCCTGTTTTTCTTTTTATAATTTTGTTACATACAGTTTAAAGCTATATTTGAAAATCTTATAAAATCCTTATTATTTTTTCATAGATATAGAAAGAAAAAAGGTGCCAGTGTTAAATGTATGAAAAATCTAGAGAAAATCACTTCACGCAAAATTTTCAGTGGCTTATATTGATAACAAGCAGACGAACCCTTCAATTTTTTCTGCTTTTTTAGTTCCTTTATTCATATAATTTCAATTTATAACAGTCTTTCAAAGAGCTTGTTATTTTGAAGCAGAGTAGCGAACATCCTTAACTTTGCTATTTGCGGCATTTTTCATGAACCATATTAATAAGGTTTTATCTAATAATCTTATATAAAATAATACTCGAGTGTTTTCCAATAAGGATCTGAGTTGGTTAAGAAATTTCAAAGGACCTTTTTACATCTACACATTCAAGTAACATTACTGTAAGGTTTCACCGATCTGGCATAACATTTAAGCATTAGAATAATAATGATTACTCTACTACAACTACTACTAATAATAATATCTAATAAGATAGGCTATAGTAATTAGAAATTGTAAATTATCAGGCATCAATCACTTTATTTATAGTTTACAACTTCACTTTAAAATTATCTGTTAGGAGTGCGGTATTTTGTGCTGTTGAGCCACTGGTTAAAAAAAAAAACACATTTAGAACAGACCTGGATTTTAGACCATATATACCATGTAAAATAAGGAGTTTAAACACTAGAAATTTCGAAAAATATGAGAGTAAAAAAACAAATTGTATGTATAACAAATATAGAGTCAAGGAAGAAGAAGAAGAAGAAGAAGAAGAAGAAGAAGAAGAAGAAGAAGAAGGAGAAGGAGAAGAAGAAGAAGAACAACAACAACAACAACAACAACAACAACAACAACAACAACAACAACAACAACAACAACAACAACAAGAAGAACAGGAAGAAAAAGAAGAAGAAGAAGAGACCTTGATTTTCATCGAACTATTTTCTAATAACTATATGATACATACAGATTCTACCACTGCATCTTGTGTGATACGATATTTAACCTCTCGAGACAGTAAGATATTGAAATATTAAAAATAACTGTCGAGAGTGGGAAAAAATATCGTATTGCACGAGATTCGGGGATGGTATCTGTTTTTCTTATGATGTTTGGATGGTATGGAGACAAACTTGTTCACTGAGCTTCAATAAAATGTGTTCTTTATATGTGGCATCATTAGGCTTGAGCACCTTTTATCGTGACTTCACAATAAGCAAATTAGAGGCAAGCAATGAAATTTGATTCCATAATTGATTTGTGACCAATATAGAACTGAGACCAAACGAACCACAAGTTGATTATCAAAAAGTGTATACCTATATGGAGTTATTTCCCTTTAGAACGATGTTTCTTTTTTCTTTTTGAGAAACCACCCGGACGATAACAAGTTTTAATGAAATGTACTTTAAGGCATAAGATAATTACGTGTGTTAAGTCATCATTTACCTCGATAAAAAGGCAATCTACAATTAGTCAACGCATTTACATATAATTCATTTGATAGTTATCGTGTGTTGTTGACAATTTGGGTTTTGCTGTACAATTTTCCATCTTAAATATTCTTTAAAGGTTTGAGGCAGAAACAATCCTTTCCTCTATTCACTAAAATGAAATACTTTAGTTTCAGAAAACGTCTTGAAAACACAATTTAACATTTTGTTAATTTATCGCTTCAATACAGAAATAGTATGTGATAATTTATCTTTTAAATAAGCTTTGGATTTTCAAATATTTTGGACTCGAGCATCACTGAAGAGACATTGAATGTAGAAATGCGCATCTGGTGCAGAAAAATTTAAACTGTTCATGTTATTACTACCACTGGGTTGATGCCTCTGCTGGTAGACTGATAGTCCCCGAGGGTATCACCAGCCCAGTAGCCAGTACTTCGGTACTGGCATGAAAATACGAATTTTGTGTTATTAAAATTTGCTATTACAAAATTTTGGAAATTATTTTAAATTAAGGAATGAATCTCCCTCATGCAAAGCTGTTGATTTCTTGCTAGGCTTTGGCTATACATGTACTTGTTTGTCGTTTTTGGCTTATAGCTCTTCATCCTTTTAATAAGCTTTGGATTTTCAAATAATTTGACCTCGAGCATCACTGAAGAGACATTGATTTTCGAAATGCGCATCTGGTGCAGAAAAATTGGAACCGTTTATGTTATCACATATAATTAATTTGATAGTTATCGTGTGTTGTTGACAATTTAGGTTTTGCTGTACTACAATTTTTCATATTTAATATTCTTAGGTTTGAGGCAGAAACAATCCTTTCCTCTATTTATTAAATTGAAATACTTTAGTCCCAGAAAACGTCTTTAACAAACAATTTAACGTTTTGTTAATTTATCGCTGCTTCAATACAGAAACAGTATGTGAGATTGAATTAATATTGCGAAACTTTTCATTACACTTTGAAAACAAACCAATGTTTCACATTGGGATAAATGAAAAACAAAAGTAAACATTCTTGTTGTTTTACACCGTATTTCAAATCGAACTATGACCTATGGTGTCCACTTTCTTTTCGTGTTACATGTACATTACGATTTTGTGCTCTCTTCGTGCTAGTTTGTTATTTTGTACATGTATATATACCCTTTAATCTGATTCCATGTCCGGCTTTGACTAATCTTTTTGCCGTTTTTGGTTTGTAAGCTTTTCATTTTTAATAAGTTTTAGATTTTCAAATATATTTTTTTCCTCGAGCATCATTGAAGAAACATTAATTATACAAATGCGTATCTGGTTCTGAAAAATCGGTACCATTAACTTTATTACACTATTAGATGGGCTAGCTACTCAGCCACGGAAAGAAACTTATGCTACAGAAACAGAAACAAGGGAAAATCAATTAGTTCAGTGAAGACAGATTGAAACCTCTGCAGGAATGCAGCCTATGACGAGCGACAAAACTCTGAGAAACTCTGTTCTGTCTCCTAAACAAACTTTAAGTTTTGGTTGTTGGAATGTTAGAACTATGAATGAAACTAGCAGAACTGATCAAACTATTAAGGAAATGAAGAGATTCAAGCTTGATATATTGGGTGTTAGTGAATGCAGATGGACTGATTCAGGAAAATTTAAACACAATTCAGGTACAGACATTTACTATTCAGGACGTACAGATGGTAGACACCAGGAAGGAGTAGCTATTCTATTGAGTAAGAGAGCAAGCAAGTCTGTTGTAGAATGGATAGCAGTAAATGAAAGAATAATAAAAATACGCATGGAGACCAATTATGGGTACATGACTGTTATCCAATGCTATGCCCCAATGAATGATTACATAGATAATGAAAAGGAGAATTTTTATGATAAATTAAATCAGATGATAGTGGACACACCAAAGCATGATGTACTTACCATCATTGGAGATTTTAATGCAAAAGTAGGTTCAACTAACACAGGTTCAGAAGAAGTGATGGGAAAACATGGGCTTGGAGAAATTAACAACAATGGTGAAAGATTAGTAGAGATGTGTATCATGAACAATCTGATAATTGGGGGAACAATCTTTGAACATAAAAACATACACAAAGCCACATGGGTGTCTCCAAATGGGAAAGTGAAAAACCAGATAGATCACATACTGATTAATAAGAAATGGAGGTCATCATTATTAGATGTGAAAGTAAAAAGAGGTTCAGATGTATACAGCGATCATCACCTAGTCATTGGAAAGATCAGACTAAAAGCAAGAAAAAACAAATGCAAAACACCAAGCAAGATCATAGACTTTGGAAAACTTCAACAACCTGAAATACACCAAACATTCAATATAGAACTGAGGAACAGATTTGAGGTCTTACAACTCGAAGAAAATGAGATTGACATAAACTCTAAATGGCAACATATGAGTGAAATCTATTTAAAAACAAGTGAAGACATCTTAGGTTATAAAAATAAAGAAAGAAAGGAATGGATATCTGAAAAAACCTGAGCTCCAATTATGGAAAGAAAAGCATTGAAATCAAAAACCAACCAAGCAACAGGAGAACAACAAGAGGAAATGAAAGAGCTGTATAAAAGTAAAGAAAAAGAAGCGAAAAAGAATGCAGTCAGACAAAAAGGCATACATAGATAATATTGCAGTACTAACATCAATGATAAAGATGGTCAGACAATATGCAAATTTGAGAAACAAATGGAAAGATGGAAAGAGCATTTTGAACAGGTGTTAAATAGACCTGAACCAGAAATCTCTGTTGACAGGTCGGAGGAAGCTCCACCACCAATAGAAATAGAAATGGGACCCATAACAGATGATGAGATCAAAGCAGCCATTAAGAAACTTAAAAACAACAAGGCTCCTGGGGCAGATGGCATACCAGCAGAAGTACTGAAAGCAGACATAAATCTCAATGTTAACATCCTACGTGATTTACTGAATGAAATATGGGAAAAAGAAATACTACCTACTCAGTGGAAAGATGGTATCATCATAAAACTACCAAAGAAAGGCAACCTTACAGATTGTAATAACTGGCATGGAATTACTTTACTATCAGTGCCTGGAAAGATACTTTGTAGAATAATTCTAGAACGAATCAAAGACAAAATCGATTCTATTCTACGGGAAGAACAAAGTGGATTTAGAACAAATCGTGCTTGTGTAGATAACATCCTCAGACTGAGAAATATCATAGAACAGGCACTAGAATGGAGATCACCTATATATTTAAATTATGTGGACTTCGAAAAAGCATTTGATAGCGTCCATAGAGAGTCACTTTGGTACATCATGAGTATGTATGGAATTCCACAGAAAACAATTAACATCATTATGGAAATGTATGATGGTTTAAGATGTGCAGTCATTATGGAAAACTATCAGACTTGTTTTTAATAACATCTGGAGTAAGACAGGGATGCTTAATATCTCCTTTTCTCTTTATATTGGTGGTTGACTGGGTAATGAAGAAGGCAACAACTGAAAATCATGGTATACAGTGGGGACTAACAACATTTTTCTGAGGACATGGACTTTGCTGATGATATCAGCCTCTTTTCTCGTACACATGAACACATGCAGAAAAAGACAGATAAAGTTACATCAGAGGCGGCGAAAGTAGGACTGAAGATAAATGCAAAGAAAACTAAGGTGATGAAGATAGCTACAAAGAACAAAAACGCAATAACAGTGAACGGAAAAGAACTGGAACAAGTAAATTCATTCAACTATCTTGGTAGTAGAGTCAATACAGAAGGAAATATTTAAGAAGAAGTCAACATCCGTATTGGAAAAGCAGCTGCTGCATTCAAGAACCTGAACAACATATGGAAAAACAATAAAATTTCTAGAAAGACAAAGATAAGATTGTACGTGAGCAATGTTAGATCAGTTCTGCTGTACGGTTCAGAAACATGGAAAACAACTAAAAAAGTAGAAAGTCGAATTAGAGGATTCGAAGGACGCTGTTTGAGACGAATTATTAACATCAGATGGCCAAATGTAATTTCAAACAGTGAACTATCAGACAGAACAGGTATGAAGAATATAGTGAATGAGATCATGAGAAGCGGTGGAAATATATTGGACATAGCGAATGGATAACAACCGGCATGTTAAAAAGGTGCTGACATGGACACCACAAGGGACTAGAAAGCCTGGAAAACCTAAAGGCACATGGAGAAGGGATATAGCAGCAGAGATAAAAAGACATGGTTACACCTGGAATCAGATAGAGAAAATCGCGAAAGATAGAACTAGTTGGAGTCCCTTGTTGATGCCTTATGAGTTCAAAAACATGAAGAGGATTAAAATTTAAGTAAGTAAGTACCAAGTCAGGAATATGGCAGTTGTTATCAAATAGTCCGTTTCTATGTATGTTAGTGTTTGTTCTTGTAGCAGTTCATAGCAGTTCAGTGTTTCTGTTGTTCCGTTGTTTTCCTCTTATAGTTGATGTGTTTACCTCGGTTTTGGTTTGTGACCCGGATTTGTTTTCGCTTAATCGATTTATGACTATTGAACAGCGGTATACTACTGTTGCCTTTATTTATTCATGAAAGTTGAGAAATAAACACAGCAGTCTTCTTATCTGAAATTAATGTAATACATAACTTACAAAGTGACTTAAAATTTTCACGCACCAAAGCTAATCATTTGTTTCTTGGGTCATGCAATTACAGTATAATTTGTTATTGACATGGACAGTGATTGCTAAGTTTATATCTATATTAATGAGTTTTGTTTCACCTTTTAATGGAGCTGTTGGGCGGGGTTATGCACAAACACTTAAGAAAAGAATATTCCTTTTAATGTGAACGATAAAATGGGATACAATTACCAACAAAACTTTGCAGAAAATAATGTTTTTGTACGGTATGTTAGTCCGGTAATACACATCTTAAGGTTACCTCCCTACGGACGGTCTTTAAGTTAATCTATCTGGACACCTCTCGGTGTGTTATACAACAAGAACAACCTTAAAATATGCATTATATATAAAATTATTAATCGTCGGGAAAAGTACAAATAGGAAAAGAATTATAGAAATACAAATATTCTAATTTTTACTGTAATTCTTTTTCCTTTGACGTTAAAATAAAATTAGACAAACAAGAAGTTGGAATCCTATATTGGTCAACTGTTGGCGTTTTGTTTTCCGTATCCTGGATCAAATATGGTGTCTGTTGTTATAAATATTAAAAAAGATATTGCTGCTTACTATTATAAGTTATATCTACACTTTTGTTCAATTAAATCATGCAATGATACCTTGACATAATCACAGTCTTCTTCTAAGTCAAAATAACTGAACGATAAAGCAGCAATGTTACTATTTCTAACTTCAATCCTCCATGTCATGTTCAAATCGATATCATACGAATTCGGAAAACCTGATGAACATATATTTTCCATAAATATTTCTGAAATGGAATTCAAAAAATAAAACTTTTCCATTTATCTAAAATCTAAATGTTTTTCAATGAATGTTTTCTATAAGAATGTTGCAGTTGGCCATGAAAGTAATCCACTGAAATTCGAGATAACAGTGTTTTGACGAATAGATAATATAGAAATTATTTAAATTATGAAAAAATAAGGAGAGTTCAAATTCGTATTTTTTAGCAATTTACAAATTACAGTTTTCAGCGGGATGTTTCTTGATTTCTTCATTATGGAATCTATACCAAAATTAAAGAAAGGCATTTGAATGAACATTATCAGTTTGCGTTTAAAACCTACAATCAATCAATCATTCAATCACCTATTTGGACGATTTGAAGTCTTACGTGGATAAACTTGGGTTCGTGTTTATCAATTTTTTGTTTTCTGTGTAATATTATGTAATTGTTGTTTTTCTGTTCGTTCTTTTTCTTCTCTTTTTTTGCTAAGGAATTTTCTGTTTCTATTGTCCTCCTGGTATCGCCTTTCTCTTTCTAAGAGATATTTTTTGTGTAAATTAGTAAAATGATTGTAAAAGGTAGAATTATTGATCAGTTTGGGGCATTTATGTGAAACAGAATTTAAATAATCTGATTAACTTAAAAGATAAGAATATATGTTTATGAAAATGGTTATCATAAATAGGTTCAATGGTTAATGAATTATGTTCCTTATACTGTTCTAAGTGTACCTTCTCCTTTGAATTGTTACACTACAACAGTAAAATTGAGCTCTGGTTTTTAATCTTTTGCTTTTTGCCATCTTAACACATTGTTAAGACTATTACAGACACAATTTAAAGCATATAAATCATTTTGACTTTAAAATGTTTTCCTTTCGGAAATGTTGATTGGAAAAAAAAGTTTATAAATTTATTGTTCATAACAAGTGAGAATCAGATATTGCGTAACATCAACTCGACTTAGTCAATTTCAATATGGATTTGCTCGTTTATTATTATATTGAAATTAACCAAGTCGAGTTTATGTCAAGCGATATCAAATTGCAGGAGTTGTTAACCCTATTAACATACCCAAGGAAAAGATTTCCTAAACTGTATTTGGAAAAAAAATGTTGGAATTTCTGGTCCTGAATGCTCTTCAACTTCTTACTTTATTTGAACGTCTTAACTTTTTGATTCGAGCGTCACTAACGAGTCTTTTGACGACGAAACAGACGTCTGGCGTACAAACTTTGAATCCTGATATCTATGTTGAGTTTATAGAGTTGCCATACGTCTGCATTTGGCTTCAATCGTTCACATCAAACTTTAAAAGCAAGTGTGTATGCTTCAAAATAGAATGAGTTTTGACGAAAAGAAAATATTCAGGTGAAAAGGGTTTGTTATTCTCTGAAACTTACATTATCAAGATGCTTAATTTCTTGATTAACAACATATTTGTTACGTCTGGAGGACGTGTTTTCAACAGACTGTCGGAATTCAAATGGGAACCAATTGTGCCCCTCTTCTTGCCGACATGTTTCTTTATTAATATGAGGTTGACTTCATACAGGAACTTCTTAGGAAGAAAGATAAGAAGTTAGCAATATCCTTTTACTTTACGTTCCGCTATATAGATGATGTTCTCTCACTAAATAATACAAAATTTGGTGACTATGTTGAACGAATCTATCCCATCGACCTAGAGATAAAGAATAATCTCCCAATTGATACGATATTCCCGGGCTTGTATTTCCTATCATTATTTCCTTGATAGAGGATTGCTGTTCACAAGGAAGCTATTAAACCAAGAGTTCCAAATGGTGAAGTTGAAATCATCCCTTCGTAAATTTTACGGACGCCATCACGAGTTGGTTGACCGTTATGGAATAACCGTTTCACAGATGATATCGGATATGTTACTTATGTCGAAACTACAATACCCTTCCCTTTTCACGAATGTGACTTACCGAATTACACTATTTACCGGATTTGTAATAACATAAGAAACACGACTGTTGCCACATGTGGAGCAGGATCTGCTTACCCTTCCGGAGCACCTGAGATCACCCCCATTTTTTGGTGGGGTTCGTGTTGCTTAGTCTAGTTT